TGGGAAAATATTAAATGTCAGTGGGTTAAAGCTCCAACTTGACTGTTAATTTTGTAGATTATCTAAGCAACAATCTCAGGGACCTGATTACTTTGGAGCAAAGGCCTAAAAGTTCAAAGGGAAAGAGTATGTTTGAGTGCTCATATTTCTTATCTGAATTTCCCCCGTTTTCCTCTGCTAACATATGGTAACAAGATCTAATAAAATGCTGAGGTAGAATCAACTCAACTATGAACTGTCTTGTAACATTATTTAAAAGGTGAATTCTAGTATTCAAAAAAAAAATCACACCCTGTTTCAGTATTCTCCCTCCTCAATCAAGTTCTGGGGTGCTGAGGTGCAGAGTGTCAGGAACTGATCCAATGAGACAATGGTCTGTCCTCACAGACCGAGGGTCCCACTGTCAACAAACAGGGTAAAGAAATACAGCGTATAGTACATGGGATGGCGAGAAATGCTATGCAGAATGAAAAGCTTTCTTGGATGTACAGAGAATACTCTGGCACCCAACCAATGTCTTTTGAGAATCCATTCCAAAAAAAACGGGAGCTAGAGCTCCACCCGTAATCACTTGCTGTTAGTAAAGGAAAGGACCACAGTAGACTGACTACCGGATCAGGTTAGAAGGGTACTTCCTGAATGTGTCGTAGTTAGCTATTGGTGGGGGGTAGGGGGAGAGGGTTATGCATTTCTACACTGTTAAAACTCTTGGCATTTAGCTAGGTGCCTATGGCTCACAACCATAATCCTAGCTCCTTGTGAGGCCAAGATCTGGAGGATTGCAGTTCCAGACAAGGTGTGTGTGTGGGGAACTTGAGGCCCCCATCTCAATGGAAAAATAGATGTGTGACAGTGTGTGCCTGTCATCATCCCAGCAACTATGGGAAGCGTAAAATTCTAGATAACGTTCCAGGCTGGCCTGGGAAAAAAGCGAGACCACATGAGAGTAAAAAGGGCTGAAGTGTGACTCAAGTGGTACAGCATCTGCCTACCAAGCAAAAATCCCTGAGTTCAAACCCCAGTGCCACCTAAATAAATTAAATAAAGCTCAGCATTTATCGCATTTATCTCATTTAAAAATATTTTAAAAAATTAGATGAGTGAGATTTATTGGATGGGGAAGGGATAATAAGAAATTAAGACAGTATAAGGAGCTTTTCAAAATCCACCTCCAAGTATTAATAACCTGCCTGAGGACATACCTCACTAGGAATTATACACCTCACCTAATGTAATATGGATAATAAAAGCTTGGTTGAGCATGCCACCAAAAGCTCTTTATTGTTTCTTTAGCTCCACTACCCTAACCTTTAAAATACAAAAAAAAATTTAGATTGAAAGGAGACAAGAGGTTTTTAATTTATTAAACACAGAATTATAAATTCAACAAAAATTACAGTAGTACTTAAAATGTTAAGTGGGGATAAGAGACTGCTTCCTTCTTTCAACCATATATACTACACAGAGCTCTATACAAGTACTTTCTGATAAACACTGGCCCAGCCTGACAGCCTTTTTATAAATGTTTATAAATATAAATTGCATTAAAACTGCCATCATAAAGAGTTATATTGAGGGGGTGCACCAACAATGTATACCTATGTAAGTAAATGTAAAAATGAGAAAAGAAAAAAAAACAAATAACATTGAATCTCTCCACCTCATGATCTGAACAGTTTGCACTACAGCAATTTGAAAGCTGATCATCTTAAATCTGAAGGGTGCTCACTGAAAGCTTTTGCCAGGAAACGTGTTTCTTTAAAAAAAAAAAAAAAAGCCCCTAAAACAGCCAGAGAAGATGCTACAAAATACCTCACCAAATGCCTTTTAAATAAAACACAAGGAAAAGATTTACAGAAACTCATTCTTTTGAGCAAGTCTTTTCTCCAAAGAAAAGAGTAAGAACTTTTATGTTTATTCTTCTAAGTTAGAATATTTGAGTTTTTCTACTTTCTAGCCAGGTTGCATGCCACCCCTTCCTAATTAGCAGGAGTTTGCATCTGTTGCGTATGTAATGCAGAGGGTGCTGAAAGGATACACCACAGTGAGGAGGATAAAGATTGTCTATGACTTAATTTTTCAAAAAAGGAGGGGGGAAAGACAAAATAAAATATAGAAAAGCACAACTAATTCACAAAGTGGATAATTAAAGAGTTGATCTACCAAGGTCAAAACAGTATCAGAAATAATGACTCTGAATCAAAGTAATAACAAATGAGAAAGATAAGGATAATTTTAAAATATGAGTTTTGTCCCAGACACCGTACTTTATTTGTATTGCTTCTTGTAAGTTTCTTTTGACGTAGACTTTTGCTTTAGAGATGAGGAAACTGAGGCACAGAGTGGTTAAGCAACCTCTCTGTGAGCACCATCCTCAAACACAGACAGGCAGACTCTGAAGCCTAGAGCTGGCTCTGCTAAGAGCATCTGCCTGTTCTGCCTCCCAATCACCAAGTGAAGCCCCCTCACTGACAGCGTGATCCAGAGAAGAAAGTCACTGGTTAAACTCAAAATCTCAGTCTATGCCCAAATCCGTTTTCAAAACAAAACACATCAACTCCCTCACAAACATAATGAAAAAAAAAATTTGATTATTCTGAGCAAACCCCATGCTCAAAGGCAGGGTGAGGCATATTCAAATTTTTTATCACTAACGCACAGATATTTCAGCAGATAACATCAACTGAGAATCTCATGCTCTTACAACTCCACTCAATGAAACATAAATCAGAATAAAGTACCAAAAAAAGACACATTAAGCAGATTTTGAGGTTTATTAAAATAAAGTATTAGCAAACAATATGCAAAACAAATTTCTTAAGAGTTATGGCTTTGATAAGCACAAGACGGCAAAACCTAATACATCTTTACAAGTATCAAAAAGATAACAGAATTGAGCATGTTGCTAGAATTTCATTTGCTACAACATAAACAGAAGCAGAATGAGTACAAGCAAGAAGCAGACGTACAGTGCAGCTATTGGTCTGGTCTTTATCATCTGTGATATGAAATATCTTTTCAAGAGAATGTGCCAGGAACTTACAAGCATTTAGTATCCATGATTACAATCCTATCCAAATTAAAAGTAAGTAAATTTCAAACTGCAATTTTAACCAGGCAGGTTAAAAAGTATCATTTGCCTAAACTATTATCCTCAGAGCCCCTACTGCTAAATTACTTCATGAGTAAATCAAAGCAGCATCATTCCCAATGGTTTGTTTATTTATTTATTTGTTTGTTTGTTTGTTTGGTGGTAGTGGGGTTTGAACTCAGGTCCTCATGCTTGCTAGGCAGCTGCTCTACCATTTGAGCCACTTCACCAGCCCTCCAATGGTTTTAGATAGGAAAATATGACTCTAAAATTAAGAACTGAGTTATTTAGACAAGAACTACACAAACCCATTCCTCTTTGCTATGATGATCAAAGAATCCTGCTCTAGAATTGCATCTTTTCAAAAGATAACTTATTTTATAGCAATTGCTACCAATAAACATAGCACGTGTTATTACTTTAAAAAAACAAAATCAATGTATGAAATCCCTTTCACTGGTTTTGGCATACCATTCAATTTTAGAGTGCCACTTCAATTATTATACACATTTGTTTCTTCTTCTTTTTTTTTTTTTTGGATCTGGGGATTAAATCCAGGGCTTCGAGCATGCTAGGCAAGTACTCTACACTGAGCTACAGAGCCAGCCAGGGAGGGAAGTATCTTTTAAAAGTAATCCAATAAAAACAAAGGCTTGAAAAACACTGTTACCTCCTATAACCAGGATACTCTGCACTGCAGTCCGATGAATTCCAAAGACCTGTCCAAGTTTCTACTCAACAGGTAGAATTCTTAGTTTATGCGGAACAAATGCCTTTAATTTTCACTTTCCATACATGTATCTTTTGTGATAAGGAAAGCTTCCAAGAATCTCACCTTTCTCAGTGAAGAAAATACTGCTGCTCTGGGGGAAACACACATCAAACTAGAGATTACACTCCAAAAAGCTAACTGAGACCATCTATAAACTACCACTTTGGAAAACTCCCTCCCATAAAAGTCACCAAACCTTTCTAAGACTAGCAGGCTATCCACTACCTGCTTACTTATAAGATAAGTAAGATAAGCTACTTACTTATCTAACCGGTAGATACAGTGAGGACACACATTTATGTTCAGACCCCAGAAATCAGAAGAGGATGTAACCAATAATACAAAGACAGGCTCTGAGCTCCTCAAAGTCAATACAACAGGTTCAAAATGCAAGTCATCACAGGAAGTCAAATTCAATAATTATCAAAAGATTCTTCTGCCTTCAGGAAGCAAAAATTATTACAATATTTTAAGTGGGAAAGGTACTATCAAGCAAATGACTAGAAGGAGGATAAAGAAGTGAGTCATATACTAGACACTCTTTATAAGAACAGCACTTTTAGACATGACCAAACTTTTTGTTTTCTCTACTATTAGTAGGATTTCATTTTTTTTATCTTTCTCCTCCAAGAAAACACTATTATAGGGGAAGGAACTGTTGCCCACAGGTAAGGTTTTAATAAGGTGAGCTCTAGTACCTATCTTGACAAGAGACTTCAGATTTGAGTACTTGCCAATCATTTTACATCTCAAAAGGATGTCTTACTCTCAAACACTGTGAAAAGTATAATACAGTACACCTTCTATCGGTAATTATTAGATGTGGCTGCTGAACAATCTGTCTAGTAATCTTATTCTGGGTTTCACCTCAGCAACCCTGTCACTTCTACTATCACAGTTTTCTTACTTAGCAACCACGAAACATTAAAAGAAAAAAAAGATTTCTATTCTGATGTATATATTTTACACTTCTGATTGGTATTTTCCTTAAATATTCTATAAAGGAAAGTGTCAGTAGACCAATAATATGCCTCCTAGTTTATAGTCCATAGTTTTACAACCAGGCAATATCAACCAGACTCTATTATGTAGAGAGGTTAATCAAATGCACTTCTTCTGTCCTTTTTTTTTTTTTTTTTCTAATCAGTGTCTTCTTGTTGCTTTAATTCATTGCTGGGAATTTTTATTTTGCTTTTCACATTGACCAAACTGGCTGCAATCACACTGTCTCAGATTCTCCTTTTAGCTGGCATATACTGATACATTTTACAGCGTGTAAAATGTAGTGGTGGTGTAGAGGGTTCCATAAATCTGACTACAGAGTACTCCACAGATGAAATAAAAATCATGCTCTTATGAAATGGTTATTTTAGAGGCACTTCTTTTTATTGGTCAGAAATTTACTTTTTTTCATTTTAATCTTACTAGCAATTTTTATTTCCTATCCATAGCTAGATGTGAACCCTTAGGGACTCCAAGAGCAGCTGGACTGAATAAAGTTTTCACTTAAAGGCCACAAATGTGAAGCTGACAACTTTTAGGAAAAAAAAAAACAGGCTCATCCTTCTCAGTGAAACTCCTAACAATTAGTAGTTTCAATACTGTCACTCATGAGACAAAACTCCTTAGAGAAAACACAGAAAAGACCAATCACAATCACATAAAATCCTGCTAACTCTAAAGGCTAACAAGATGACTGCAAGTAAAACAGTTTTTAACATACTGTCGAAAGTATCAATGAAACAATACTTGTCACAAGTTTACTAGAGCCCAATAACGTGGATCATATCTGTCATTCAATGTGAGTCATTTTATTTCCTACATATTTGTTCCAAAGATTGTGCCGTAAGCCTGCTAAGTAAAAGAATGATAAAAATACATAGGAAATAATTTTGTCTTGTGTGGCTGGTACAACTCTGGAGGGCTAAGAATACATGCTATGTAATACTGATGCTTAAGGCTCAGGTGTCAAAGTATTCTTTCTACCCAGCAAAGGACTGTGAGCTGAAACACAAATGGCACTTCATGAGGGCACTAAAACCACCCAATGGCTGCACTGTGAAAAAGCAATAAATAATGACACAGAAAACAAAAGGAGACACATAATTCTATCCTTAAAAAATGCTTTTTTTCTTTCCCCTCATAAAAGCCAGAAGGGCAAAATAGAAAGTCAAATCAAAATAATTAACAGAAGAACGACAAGGCTCCATATACTTTCAAAGGCACCAGAAAATGAAGTTTCTCGTTCTGATAGGTAAAATAGGTCATTTTTCTTTTCAAAGTCACTTCTTCATCCTTATGCCATAACTAAGTGTCCATCTGACTGCTCTCCAGAAAAAGTGGTTAAGAGTCCTATACTCAAAGCCAAAGGCACAACTGATAAAATGGATATTTTAGACTTTTCATGTCTTTTCCCCTAAGAAGATAAACACAATCCATATAGATACTAAAAACACAGACAGAGAGCACTGATGACAGTGAGAGAAAAATGTGCACTCTTTGATACATGAATACTTTAAAATCAGCTATCCCAATACCCACTGATGATTTATTTACCATCAGACCGGTAACCTCACCCTTGGGGCCAAACTGAAGAGCCTCCCATGGCTACAGTGCGTAGGTCCTTGCATGAGGAGAGTGATGTAAGTAAGATCAATGGCAATAAGTACCTGATTTTCCAAGTTATACACCCATAAGGCTGTAGGGAATTAAAAAGGCACCTTAGTTGGAGTTATAGAATAATAGTTTTATAACCTATGTTGAAAAATTAAAAACTAGAAAAAGCATAACTTCCTACAACTGTAATCTATAAATTGCAGTGTTTGTTAATACAAAAGGGGTACCAAGGAGATAAGGGTAAGCATCAAAGTAAGTACAAGTCACTTGAGTGTGTTTGACCAAAGTTACACTAAAAACTGTCACCCATAAAAGTGCAAAATAAAAGATTAATGCATGACACAATTAGAGCTCTCGCAACATTGGCCAAACGTAGCAAACAGCTGAAGCAGGCTGCACATGCTCTTTCACTAGCTATGAAGCAGCACTTATGACAGAGTGTGAATAAATGACATATACTAGAGATCAATTACTTGCAGTATTTTTTTTTAAAAAGGAAATGTTTTACAAAAGATATATAGCATGAAATCACATTACACTGACAAACATTTAGCTATATTAAATGTAAATTTTATGATGCCACCTAGAAAACTATCACTTTGTTTTTACTGAACACTACTTGTTAGGGCAGTGCATAGTGTTCCTTCAAATAAAAGACTTTTTATAGTTTCTTTTAAGCCCCCACCATATGCTTCTGCAAAACAATGCACTATGCTTTTTTAAAGTTGGTGGGACAAAGACATCGTTAGAAGCATAGCTTCTGGAGGATCAAGAGGAAGGAAGACTCACTGGTCACTAGATACACTCTCTTACACTATCGTTTTTCATCATCACCTTTAAAAAACTTAACAAATGAAAACATTGTTGGGACAGTAAGTAAAAGCATATTCCAGTTTAAGATCGAGGCCGAACTTCTGAGCAGGGGCACAGTACTCACACCACGTCTTTCACAATACTTTTGAGAGTTAATCACATGCACACGAATACAAACAAATGTAGATTCGCCACAAAGTACAAACGCGTTGGTCACGATTTTGTAGAAAAAAGTAAGCTGTAAGATCTGTTTTTCCATGTCAGCTCACAGTATCTGTACTGGAAGTTTCTCTAAAATTAAAACAAGTTCACTAATAATGTAACTGAGAAGAGTACTTCTGCACTATGAAACAGAAGAGATGGGGTTCAGAGGAGAGCCCATCTGAGTAAGGACTTTATCCAGCCACTGAAGAGGCCCGTGAAGATGGATCTCAATCCAACAAGGAGTACTGGTAACATCCTGCCGGTGATATTCTGCTCCCCAGCCCTATGAAGACAAACAGACACCACACATTGTCAACCAGTCTAAACCAACTTTCACAACGAAAAGAGAGTTTAACAGTGAAAATATGTAGAATGTACATAAGTAGAATAATATCACAATCTTATTCTTAGCATTTACCATGGAATTAAAAGCAAAACAGTATCTGTGTTACTCAAAGACATGAATTTTTTAATAACATATACTTTCCCTAATAGAAACCCATGGATCTAGAGCTGATTTTTTTTAATTTTAAGAAGGACATACAATACAATATTTCACAATTAAAGACATTAGTATTTATTTTATGAGATATAGTCTCACTAGGATAAATAAAACTCACAAATAGCCTCAGGCAACTTCATGTCAGATTTTGTTACTAAACAATTTTTGGTTTTTCAGGTTTTGTTTTTTTAAATTTTTTTTTTACTAACAGATAAGCCACTGTAGACAATGATGAATGAATGCATGTATAATTTAATGTTGTAACCACATAGCCAATATTCTTAAAGGCGGGAGATTAATAAAATGAAATGAGCTAAAACTCCAGATAAAAATTGAAAGAAACTTTTTACTTCCATTTTCCAGGATTTATGAATTTCTCTGCCTTACTGCTTACAGTAGTCCTGGCCCACGAAAACTAGGGGAGCAAAGAAGGGGAAGTAGTGGACAAGATGGTGGAGTAGAGAGTGAAATATGAAAAGTCACATTTCTATAGAGGGAAGGGGAACTACCTTCAGGGCAAATGATAAACAGATACATATTAACAGACCTACTGGAAATTAGCAAGAAAACATTGGATCAGGACAGTGCCATAAAAAAAAACCCATTACAGCATGTGATATTTACTCTTCTTGGGTTAAATGCTTTAGGACCATGTGATCGTAGCACAGGCTGCTTAAATATTTATTACTAAAATTCTTTACAAATTTTACTCATGAACCATAATCTTTGGAATTTTCAATCTAATCAGGCCAGTAGAGTAAATGATAAACTTGACCTTTGAAAATTCTTAACAACAGACCTTAGATACAAGTTTAATAGTTTTAATATTCTAAGTAATTCTGTTGACCCATGCTAATGGAATCTAGTAACAATCAAAACTGTTGAAACTAAGTGACTCACAAAGCAATTTTAATATAAAAAGTGCTGTCCAGTAATTTAGTACTCTAGCTGAAATTTTGTGTAAACTCAACCCCTATTCATACCAAAATCATTATCAATCATACATCTTATAATATCTGGATTACAAACTGAAACAGACCCATCAGATTGTGATTAAAACGGTGACTGTTAGAACTTCACATGAAAATCTATTAAATCGGGTCAAAAGTAATGACCATCTTGCATAGCAATTTTTTATTGTAACCTACAGACACACATATTGACAGTGAGTAAAATTAGACCACAACCACTCACCTTGACAAAACTCATTCGAATGGTGCACATTTTGGTGAGCTCATATACTGCCTCAAACCCATGGTTGACAGACTGAGCCAGAAGCTGAGCAAACTCCTGATTGTTAAAAATTTTCAGGCTGCAGCTGCTAGGAATCTTACAGACGGTGGTGGGATGAAAGCCGTGATGGAAGTTGCAGTTCCTGCTCTGTACAAATATGCTGCTGTCACTGAGACACTCAGCATACACCTCCCCACCAACGTAGTATAGATGAACACCTTGAAAAGACAGGCAGCACAAGAGTCAGCTTACCTAGGCATTACAATAAAGCCAAACAGATAGGTGCAACCAAAATCCCAGGAACCCCTAACTCCAACAGTCTTCAGATGGAAGCCACCACTAGATGGCCTTCTGCAGCTAAATAATCAAGAGGTTAACGTCTGCCTAAATCTAAACCAGTTCTGGAACAACCGAGTCAAGCCTCTAGTCAGCAGCTTACATGGGTTTATCCACTCTTAGGTTTATGTATTTGCTAACAATCGTTTACTATCTCTATGAGACAAAGAAATGCTTGGTCTATCAACTATCATAGTCATTTGGCAGAGTTCTGCAGATGTTTTGCTACAAAGAGAACAGCAGCATTTAAAGACAAAAAGAAAACTGAAAGGTGCATGCAATTTCAGCCACAGAAAGAACTTTTACTTGCCTTTTAAAAAGAGTCTTTATACTTACAATAAAAATAAGCATACATATAGCATAGTGGCTCAAGTCTATAATCCTAGCTACTTGGGAAGTGGAAATAAGGAGGCTTCAGGTTCGAGGGCATTCAGGCAAAAAAAAAGTTCACAGAACTCCATATAGACCAATAAATGCTGTGCATGGTGGCACATGCCTGTCATCCCAGCTACGCAGGAAGCTTAAATAGGAGAATCTCTGTCCAGGCCAGCTGAGGTGTAAACATGACACCCTATTCAAAGATACCTAATCATAATGGTATTTTTCACATATTATTACATGTTTATTTTATTTATTTATTTTGGCAGTACTGGGATTTGAACTCAGGGCCTTGTGTTTGAAAGATGCTGTACGACTTGAGCCAGTCCAGGTATCCCTACCCCCTTTCTTTTTTGCTTTATTATTTTGGACAGGGTTTAGTGTTTTTGCAAGGAGTCAGCCTTGGATGACAACTCTCCCACCTATGCCTGTCAGTACCAAGCCTGGCCTATTGGTTGAGATGGGGGAGTCACTAACTTTTGCTCAGGCTAGCCATGAACAAAGACCCTCCCAATCTTCACCTACTGAGTAGCGGGAATTATAGGCCTGAGTTACCCCACCTGGTCAAACAGTCCTTCTTAGTAGCATCCCTGTACATATGCACCTCTGCATGCAAGTAAGTTAAAGAATTTTATCAGGCTGACATTAAAAACTATTTTGTTTCTGAGTACATAAAAATGACACAGAATCAAAGGATGCTAGACTCTTAGTACTATAAAAAAAGAGAAAACTGATGCTAGAATTTCAAATTTTACCAAATAAAGTCCCCTTATATATATATTATTTTTACTGTTGTGGGGGAAGGGTGGGAAAATCAATGTACAAAAGTGAGGTATTTCACCAGGAAAAAAACATGGTGAATTGGCAAACTGAAGTCAAAAGAGAACAGAAACTTCATTTTCAACTTTTTTGTTTAAGACAGGATCTTGGTATAAAGCCCAGGCTGGCCTTAAATTCACAATCCTCTTGTCTCAACCACTTGTGTGCTGGGATTACAGGTGTATGCCACCACATCCAGCTTCAAATCACTTTTGTCCATACTATTTTTCTGCATCTCTTCTATAAGAAACCCTATCACAATTATATTTATTTGCCTTTGTTCATATTTTGCGTTAAGACTTTGTCAAGTCAAGCAAAAAGCAAGGAGTAAACCCCCAAACTTTTAAAAAAACATATACTACATTCTACCTGAGACAAGTTTCCTTCTGATGCCAAGACTATGGCTTTCACCACAGTATGAAAAGTGCCTTGTTTGTGGACAGCACTAAAACACTTGTCATTCACATTGGACTTTCCACCTTTAACTAGTCATTTCAATTGAGAACACTCTACAAATGCCATAACTATAAAATTCTAATCCTTCACCAGCACTCACATGTTCTATAAATATTTGATGTGTTTTATGAGCTACTGATACTGTTGTGAACAAGGCAAATTAGCATGCAGCTTATACTGCAGTCAGCACAACACTGACAAACAAAGTAACATTTTCAGATTTTTAGTACTAGAAAGAAAAACTAAGCAGGATGAAGATGAAGAGAACAATGTCTGTATCTGAGTAATACATTTTTCAATAACTGCAGCCTAAGGTACAGGCCATGCCTTAAGATTCTTTGTATGTTTCTAGCACCTTCTACAATATGTGGTATATGGCCCATACAACAAATGACTGAATTCAATTGAACACAGAGAAATGACAAGATTACCTTTACCAATGTGCCGCCTAGTGTTTTCAATTGTGGAATTACGATTAACATTTGACAACAATCCCAAGCAGAATCTACTTTTGTTATTTGAAGGGTCTGTGAATCCATCTACTAACACACTAGTAGAAGATGCGTGAAAAGCTTCCCCAACACGGTTATTTAATTCATAGTAGACGATTGAACACCAATGCTTGGGCTCCTCATAGGCAACAGGCTGAACATCTGTGAACAAAACAGAAAAAAGTTTACAAATGATTACCAGAAACTGCAGATTTGTTATGTATTTACCCTGTAGCCCAACCAAAGCACTACATGAAAAAAGAAAATAGATATTTCACTTAAGTCCCTGCCTAGCTTTGCGTCTATGTCCAAAAAACACTAGAAACAGGCTTAAATATGACAATTTAAATAATTATAAAAATATAAGGCAACTATACTAGCCTGCTCAGGCTACTACTGAAAAACACCATAAACTGAGTGGTTTAAATGGTTTAAAAATTATTTCTCATGGTTCTAGAGGCTGAATCTCCAACAAGGTGTCAGCAGTCTAGCAAGGGCTCACTTTCTGGTCTGTAGATAGACAGCTGCTCTCTTACTATGTACTCATTTGCCCTTTCCTCAGTGCATGCCCATTAATACCCAGCTAATTACATCAAGAGGACCCCATTCTCATGAACTTGTCTAACTTGATTACCTCCCATAAAAAGACCCCATCTCCAAATACCATCACTTTGGTGTTTAGGGTTTCAACCCCATTAGGGTTTAGGGGGAGACACAAGTCCTTGAGTATTTCACAGATGGCCTCCCAATATTCATGTCCTTCTCATATGCAAACATACAGATATCCCATCCTCAAAGTCTTCCTGGCAAAAACTGTAAGATGTAAAGTCTAGCCTATCTAAATCAGAAATAGGTGACCTGGAGACAAAACCCCAAGGCAAAATTCCTCTTCAGCTATAACATGTACAACTACCTAAGTTATACATTCTAGGGAGCTGCAACCTCAAGGCCCCAGGCATCCCTACCCCCATGGCTTCATCCAGCTTGCTGAAACTGGGACATTGATCCTAATGATGTATGAATTACCTTCAGGGCCATTCTTCTCTTTTGAGTTTGTAGCCAAATAGCTTAACTGTCCTGTCTCACAGAATCTAAGAAATCTGAGAATCTTAATTCTGACCATCTCTGTCCCCTCAGGTCAAACTAGCTGTGTTCTGCTGGAGTGACTGATCAGGTCCATGGTTCATGCTCATTTTTTGCAATATGGATGAGAATTCTCCAAATCCATAAGTTCTGATTACTTTTTTGATTATTAATTAATTCTTTCTTCAAATCATTTCTCTTATTTTACTAGGTGCAGTCGGGAGGAACCAGGCTACTCCTTCAGCACGTTAAGGATCTGCTCAGTGAAATATCCAATTCCAAAGTCTGAGAGTCCTATTTTCCTTAAAACACTAGATTGTGAACACAACTCAGCCAAGTTCTTTGTCATTGGATAACAAGGATAGCGTTTTGTCTTCCAACAACATGTTCCCAATTTGGGTTTGAAACCTCAACAACAACAAAAAAATCAAACTTAGCATTGATATTTCTGCTAACATTCTACATGTAATTATGTATTCTTTAAGAAAATGGAAGTTTTTTGGTTTTTGTTTTTTTAATGGGAGTGGTGTTTGAACTCAGGGCTTCATCATACTTGTAAAGCAGAAGCTCTACTACTTGGGCTATGCCTCCAGTCCATTTTCCTCTGGTTATTTTGGAGATGGAGTCTCGTGAACTATTTGCCTGGGCTGGCCTCTCCATTTGTCTCTCAAGTAGCTAGGATTACAGAGATGTAAGCAAACAGCAACTGGCAAAAATGGAAGCTTTTTTATAGCTCATTTCTTTTACTTCTGAGCCCTCACCAGGATCACCATTAGTAATTCCATCATAGTAATATTGGCTTTCTCTAGCATATACCTCAAAATTCTTCCAGCCTCTACTCTTTACCTAGTTCCAAAGCCACATCCATACATTTAGGTATTTGTCACAGCAGGACCCCACTTCTAGGTCCCAATTTCTGTCTCAGTTCATTCAGGCTGCCAAACCAAAATACCATAAATGGAGTGGTTTAAGCAAAAGAAATTTATTTCTCACAGTTGTGGAGGCTGGAAAGTCAAGACCAAGGTGTAAGAAGGTTCAGTGTTTGGTGGAGGCCCACTTTCTGGCTCCTGGTTTCCCACTGTGTGTCCCTGTGGCCTTTCCTTGGTTTATGTTCAAGGACAGAGAAAGAGATCTCTTCCTCTTTGAAGAAGGGCATTCATCATTCCAGAAGGACTCTAACCTCATCTAAACCCAATTACCCCTTAAAGACTCCTGTTCCCGAATAGCACTACACTGGGGGTTAGGGTTTCAATATATGAATTTGGCGGAGACACAATTCAGAACACAATAGCAACATCACATTTTAAATTATTTTTCCAGAATCTATTACAGGCTTAAATTCAAGATACAAACTACTTCAGCAACTGAAAAGTATTTAACTATATAGTATCTTATTCTAAACAAAAAGCTGAACTCAGCAATGAAGTGAAACTCTCAGCAGACAAGGAATAGAAGTTTGTGAGTGTAGTTATCCTTGCCCTATTACTGATCTTAGCAGTGAATCTTCCTAGTTTCTCCCATTAAGTATGATGTCAGCTGTGGGATTTCTGTAGCTATTCTTTATTATTACAAACACATACAGACACACTGTTTTAAGAAAAATGTGAAATGGCAATATGTATTTCTAAGCTTGTGACAATGTAAGGAGCTTAAGGTCTCAAAGCAAAGTGCCTTTAAAACCACAATGGCACCATTTTAGAAACACCCACAAGAGCCAGGCACCAGTGGCTCACTCGTGCAATCCTAGCTACTCATGAGGCAGAGATCAAGAGGATCATGATTCAAAGTCAGCCAGGGTAAATAGTTCATGAGACCCTATCTAGGAAAAAACCCTTCACAAAAAAAGACTATGGAGTGGCTCAAAGTGTGGCCCTGAGTTCAAGCCCCAATATTGCCAAAAACAACAAAAAATACCCACAAGGAGATACCATCTCACATCCATTAGGAGGTCCATTATCAAAATAAATAAGAAAACCCCACCACCAACAACAACAAAAACCCAGAAAACAAGTGCTGGCATGGATATGGAAAGATTGGAACCCTTATGCACTTCTGACTGACAGGAATGTAATTGATAAAAAAAATATGCATACCATACAGTGGAATACCATTCAGCCTTTAAATAAAAGGAGTAAAATTCTGATACATGCTCTAACATGGACAAACCTTAAAAATACCATCCTAAGTGAAATAAGCCAGGTTCAAAGGACACACAAGCATTGTATGATTCCACATAATGATACCCAGAATAGGCAAATTCACAGAGACAGAAAGTAGAACAGTGTCAAGAGGGCTAGAGGAGAGGGAAGCGGAGATTTACAATGGGCACAGAGTTCTCTTAGAATGATCAAAAGGTTCTGGAAATGGATAGTGCCAATGGTTGTTACACAATACTGTGGATGTACTTAATGCAACTGAATTGTGTATTTTTAAAGAACAGAGCCCCAAAATATATAAAACAAGAATCAACAGAATTGAAAGAAAAAAAAAAAACAATTAAATGATAACAGTTGTGGACTTCAATCCCCTACTTTCAATAATTGATAGAACAATTAGAAAATAAGTAAGGATACAGAAAATCTGAACAATGCTATCAACCAACTTGACCTAAATGAAATACACAGAACCTAAGATATTCTACAACAGCAGGATTGAAGAGTGGGACCTCAAAGAGATAATCATATACTCATGTTGATAGCATCATTCACACAGCCAAAAAGTAGAACCAACCCAAGTGTTTAGCAATGAATGAATGGTGTACATGTGCAACGGAATATTTAACCCTAAAAAGGAATGAAGTTCTGACATATACAATAACATAGATGAACCTTGAGGACATATAGCTAAGTGAAATAAGCCAGTCATAAAAAGACAAATACTGTATGGTTCTATTCATATGAGGTATTTAAAAGCAATCAAAAGTCACAGAGATGAAAAAACAATGGTGAATGCCAAGATCTGTGGGGAGGAGAGTTCAGGGCATTATTGTTTAATGGATACAGAACTTCAGCTTCACAAGATGAAAAGAGTTATGGAGATAGATAATGGTGACAGTTGTACAATGTTATATAATTAATGCCAATAAATTATACACATTAAAATGATTAAGATGGTAAATTTTATGTTATGTATATTTTATCACAATAGAAAAGTTGGGCAAAGATATTTTAAAACTTTAGTAATCTAAAGACTATGAGGTACAGATATAGAGATCAATGAACAAAATTAAGAATTCCTAAGTAAACTCCTAAATTTATAACAAAATGGTGTCTAATAAAGATGCCAATCCAATGGAGATTAAATGGTACTAGAGCTAACAGGATTTCTTAATGGAAAAAAAATAATACATTTACCATATACCACACATAAAGTTAAAATGAATCACATACTTAAAGCTAAGCTAAAACTATAGAACATCTAGAAGAAAACAGAGTATTTTCATGACCTTGGAACAGACAAAAAAATTGTTAGATGAAATACCAAAAGGATGATTTAGAAAAGAAAAAAATTGATAATATGAACTTCAAAAAAATTTATCATTACTATGCTTCAAAAGATATTACTAAGAAAATGAAAAAGAAATATAGACACCAAGGGAAGATATCTGCAAATCATATATCTAATAAAAAACTCATATAGGGCTGGAGTTGTGGTTCAGATGTAGAGCATTTGCCTAGCATGTGAAAGGCCCTGAGTTTGATCCCCAGCACTGAAGAAAAAAAAGATTCATATCCAGAATATATAAAGAGCTCTTTTTTATTTTGGTGGGTACTGGAGGGTTAAACTGAGGACCTGGCACTTGTTACCACTTGAGCCATGTCCCCAGCCCAATAAAGAACTCTTATAATCCAATAAAATGATAAATAATCTAAAGGGCATTTAAACATTTTTTAAAATGTTGAGGGGGATGAGAGGACAGATGGTGGGGGCAATGTAAGTAATGCACAATATAAGCCTACTCGGAATTATCATTATGAATCCCCTCCTGTATAATGAATAAATTGTAATAAAAATATTTTAATTTTAAAAAGTTTGACATCATATTCATTAGAGATTTACAAATTAAAACCACAATGAGCACTTCATACCCATTAGAATGGCTATGACCAAAAACACAGACAAGTGTTGGGAGGTGACAGAGAAACTGGAGCCCTCAGACGATGCTAGTATAAAATAGTACAGTCACTTCAGAGAACATGGGCAGCTTTTTTCAAATAGTTATTACCATATGACATAGCAATTCTACTCCTAGGTATCTACCTGACATAAAAACAATGTCCACACAAAGACTTGTACGCTCACATTCCCTAAGAACATTATTCATATTAAACAAAAACTAGAAACAATTCAAATGTAGGGTATCTGCAGTTCAGAATAAAATGGAACTACTGATACATGTTACAACCTGGATGAACCTTCACAATACTATGCTAAATGATAAAGAAGGCAGATGTAAAAAACTATGTATGACATGATAAATCTATGCATAGACAAAACAAACTAGAGAACATGTAGAGCTGGGGATGGGTGTGGGAGTCTTTTCAAAGGGCTATGGAAATGTAAAACCATATTGTGGTACAGAACTTTATTCATTTGCCAAAACCAGTGAATCATACACTTAGGTGAAACTTATAACATATGAATTACACTTCATTAAACATCCTTTTTAAGTCACCAAGACGGGGGTGTAGCTTAATGGAAAAGCACTTGCATAGCATGCTGAAGCCCTGGGTTCAATCCCCAACACGCAAAAGGGTAAATAAATAAAAGCAGCCAAGAAGCTAAAAGAGATAAAAATAGCAACAAAACAAATACAGTGAGTGCTTCTCTTACCTCTGCTGGATATACTGGGCATGATCTGAGGAATCATGTTATTGCATGTATCCATAGGCTGGGAATTATCTTGACCCATCTGCTCATCGGGCGGCATATAGGCAGGAGGAGGCGTATCAGCTAAGAGAAGAAAATGAGACAAATTAAAGTCCCAGGAGAGTAAAGTCTTCATTCTGCTCAAAGTTACTACCTTAAAACCATTTTAAAAATCCAGTATTACCAGAGAGTTCAATACTGAACATTACACACACACAAATGTTGGATACTTTCCTAAGGCAAAAGAAAGGCAGCACACCTAATAGTTCCTAAAGCCTACTATAAGCCCATATCCCTAATATTAAGAACACTAGATCAGCACTAAAATAGAATTCCAGGTGTAAAACACATGCTCACAGAGAAACCTCAGCTACTATAAAACAGTGTGAAAGACATGGATCATCCTAGTTTGAGTGCACCCAGCTATGGAGCCATGTTTAAACTATCAAGACCACTACATGTTGCACAGTTACTGAAAACAACAACAAAACTATGGCCCTTCAAAGTTTGCCATCAATATTAACAGCAATTGTCTGATTCTTTTGCAATGTCCAGAGATGGCTAGGAACTAAATTAGCTTAGGAACTGATTACTAACCTTGAAATCTTGAGTCCAATGCTAATCATTGCATATTTTTGCAAAAACTACATGCAGACTTTTTTTTGTCTTAGTTACTGTAAAACTGACTATAAATTGTCTTTCTACAGGATATATTTTGAGACAGTGCTACAATCAGTACTGAATCTAAGACAGTATAAAAATTTGTGTTTGAGAAAATTTCTTCTACCAATTGAACAGCTGGTATTTAATTCCCTTACTACTTCCAGATTTTAAACATATGTACAATCTGAACTCTCTAGAAATCAAACACTTTTCTAAAAGCTATGCAGTCAGAACTAACTAGCTCTTATTGTATAATGGCTCACCCAGAAGGCCCAGCATTAAGAACAATTGCTGAGTCTCAGGGTTTCGGCATTTTCTTTGTTGTTTCTGTCTATCAGTGAAGTCTTACCTGGGAGTTGAAATGGACTTCCTGGTCCAGAACTTGCTGGGGAGTTGGGATATGTGCTGCTAGCAGGGGAAGGGGGATAGGGGCTGTTTGGAGATAGGGGAAAAGGAGTGTTGTTGGGCTGGTGGAAAGAATCCGGAAATGTGGCGTTTTGTGGCATGTGCGGTTCATTGTGACTCAGGTTCCTAAACTGAACCAGAAGGCTGTGCTGTGGATTGAATTCATTATGACGAGGCACTAATACTGGAGGTAAGACTGAAAGGAAAAAAATCAAAAGTCATCAGTCAGGAATGACTACAGCAAATATCCCACCCACTATTAAGGGGCTGGCAGAAACGATTCATGAAAGACTGTAAACCTATTTCAACAGTTTACTTTTAGGAAGGGCTGCTTTGTAGAAATCTGAATCTATGTTTATACAATAACTAAACCAGAAACTTTATACACATTTAGCCTGTATAAGGAACTCTGCAAGATAGAAAATTCAGGAAAGGTACCACTCCTGTTCTACGCCACTAAGACATATTTAAAACCATAACATAGAGAATTTAGTGCAATGGATGTTCAAGAAGTAAGCATTCCCAGCTAGCAAGGACTCAAACAAAAAACCATGCAAAAGACAATACCTGACTAGACTGTCTTAAAGAAGCAGGAGGACTTGACATGAGAGTGGTAGGGGTGGGGAGAGGGAGAGGATGAAGTGGGGGGGGGTTCTAAGACTTGAGTGGGAATTTGTGGTTATGGATCCCCTTAAATTTTCACATTTCCAATTTTGAATATTTCCCCATTACTTTTAGTTTGTAAGATCCACATTTTATATTCTTCAGTAAGGTTTTTTCCTGCTGATGTATTTCCCAGTTAGAAGTCTTCCATTCAAAGTCACTCTTCTGAATATGACCATAATGAAAATATACACAATAGCATCTAAACAATTGAACAGGTATGTTTTTTAAAAGACAAATTTTAATCTTATTCAAATGTTCACTTTCTCTAAAGGATCCAAGTGATCAATTACATTCAAATACCAGATTACTTTTGTATACAGGAAATTATAACCTTATTCTTCAAACTCCAAATATACCAAAATTCATGTCTTTTACAACTTTCCTGTGTTGGCCAATGTGATTTCATTTCAGAAAAATCTCACTTTAATTCTGATGTCATTCACCACCAACAAAATTAGATTATCTTACAGCTACCTAGGTCATACTTCCCCTGCCTAAAGTAGGAACGAACACAACAAACCAGCAGCTCTTAAGTCAGCACTTCACTGTTTCTTTACATTTTATTGAATTAGGGTTGCAAGTATGTGGTTAACGTTGACTACAATTATTGCTTATCAACAACCATGTTTCCCCTTACTGAACCATGCAATGGCTGCCACTAGACAGCAAGGATTTGTTTAGCTAGCTAGCAATTTGAGAGACTTTGTGAAATAACTAAAGAATTCAGTCTGTTAAAGATTTCCTTACTTTTATTTTTTTTAAAGGCACAGCTAGAGCCACTGGCTTCTCTCTTGTCTTCATGTTATCTGTGCACATGATTTTTAAAAATTATTTTGCTTTCATTCAAAATAATGCAGATAGTTAAAAGACAAGACAGAAAAGAGACAAATTTCTGTAAGTGAATTTAAATACTTAGCCATTTCTTCTAACATTTACTTTGTGCATTGCCAAATATGATTCTTACATTGCTACTACTGGTTTGTCAAGATGTTATTTGTAGCCTTGTTCTTGTGGCAAATAAGGCAGCTTGCTTTCTTATATTACTGTATCTCAGTCCTGTTCCCCCTACCCACAATGAAGTTGCATTAAAAAGCTGTGTTATGATCTGGAGATGTGACTCGAGTGGTAGAGTATTTGCCTAGCAAGTATGGGGCTCTGAGTTCAAACCCCAGTACTAAGGAAAAAAACAAAACAAAACAAAATCAATCAATATCCAGTTTATTATAGATATATTACATATGCATATGTAAGTATATGTATACATATATATAATTCACTGTTGAGCCAACTACACTGTAATATTTTCCTTAAACAGTACTTTTATTAAAATTAACTATTTCCTTGTTCTTTCATTTAAGTACATACCACTAATATTTCCAATATTCCAATAGATGTATCAAATGCTTATTTTCAGATGCCATAAATCACCAAATAATTCATTCATTTTATGTTTTCTCCCTGGATCTTTCATACTTAGTAGCATGACTGCTACTTAGACTCCCATGAGCCTAAAGTCATTGGACTTTTCTTCCCTTCTCTCTGATTAGATCTCATTTCCTTGGCCCCATCTTTCATTAGTTTCCTAAGAAAGGAAGAAGTCTAAGAAAATACCTTATTTTTTTATTGTCTGCAGGCAGAATTCCAGATAATTTCTCCCTGTGAATTTTAAATGTACTGCTTCATTTCTTCGTGAATCCAGAATTACAATGAGAAATCCAAAAGTTCTGATATCCAGTCTTTTATGTGTCCTACATTATCTCTCTGGAAGCTTTCAGAACCATCTTTTTATCTATGATACACTTTCATGTGTGGGTCTTTTTCAATCCCTTATTTTGATTACTTGGTTATTCAGTCCCTTTGATCTTCAATTTGGAATTGTTCTAGCAGTAGTTCTTTGAAAATTTTCTCTCTGTCATTTCCCCATATATATTATTCTACAACAGTGTATTATTAGTAAAACTAGTATTTCCTTTGAAACTGACTCTGGGCCATGTAATGTTTTAACGTAGGCACTTTTTCATGCATTGACTCATCCAATCCTCTTAAGCTCTCTGAGATAGGGAGTACTATTCCCATTTTATGGATGAGGAGACTAAATCACATGTTCAGTAACTTGCTTAATGTAACTACCAGTAACTACATACTGGTAGTGTGTAGTAAAACTAGGATTCAACTCCAGGAAGTCTGGTACCAGAACCCATGGACTTAACCAACAGGCACTACTACATACTAGATTAGACACTGGACTACCTTGGCTGGTCCTCTATTTTTCTTAAGTTCATTATTACCTCCCAACTATCTTCCATCTTTTCTACCTCTCTGCAATACTTTCTGATTTCACTCTATACTAGCTGTGTGTTCTTACGTAAGTAACTTCCCTTTAAGTCTTGATTTCTGTATCCATAAACTTGTCAATACACATTAGGGTTTTAAAATGTTAGTACCCCTTTCTAATACTAAAGGAATAACCTCATAGGGTTAGCAAACTACTCCATAAATGTTCAATAAATGTTTGTTGTTATCACCATTATCACCATCCCACTACGGTTACTTCATTAACACAGTACTATGGTGTGATCCATCCAGTGTCAGCACTGCTAGGTCAAGGGAGAATACAAGTTAATCCAACTGGGTCACGCTGTCCTTTCCCCCAAAGATAGGTAGACACGAGACCAAAAATGAGGTTTTAAAGTCTCTTTCCAGCAGCTGAACTAGCAAGACAGGGGATTTCCATAGTTATTAAGTATCAGAGTTAAGCACCTGTCCTTCCTATAGAACGATTACAGCTGAGAAAAATGGACTCCAAAAACTAACACATTTTTACTGGCTGATCAGTTACAGCCTGGCAATGTGGGGGGAATTTACAAAATTCCTAGACTTATTCCTAGCAAATACCTAGCTTGACAGTTTTTCAGAAAGCATTTTCTATCAAATCCCATTCCTCGTTGTTGATTCCTTCAGGATACAGCTCTCCTTTGACTCAGCAGGAAATTCAGAACCACCTTAGTATCACTGACAGCTGTAAGCTAAGTTGAACTTTCCCTGACAGCACAATCACTACTATTCTTTTGTTAGTCTCCACACTCAATGTTATTTTCTGCCTTTATATCACACTGGACTTACATTATTTCCAGTGTGACAGATTGACTCTAAAGTGGCTGCCATGGTTCCCTCTTCTGGGAATTCATGTCTTTGGATAATCCCCTCCCACTGAGGATGAGTATGGCCTGTGACTTGCAGCTAATCAAGAGAATATGGCAAAGTGATAGGAAGTGATATGATTACACTTCCTAAGAATACAATGCTCTATTGCAAGAACATCCTCTCTTCTTTACTGGCTCTGAAGAAGGTACAGTATCATGATGTGTTTGTATGCTGTCAGAAAGTCTGGTAGAGAGGAAAAATGTAATGCTCAGGGAGAAATGATACTGTAGAAACAAATATTAATGTGAACTACCTAGAAGGAAGACTATATGGTAAGGAACAGAAAGCAGTCTCCAGCTGACAACAAGCAAGAATCCAGTGGACCATAAGGTACTGAATTCCATCAACAATCACAGTGAGCTTGGAAGCAGATCCTTCCACATCTAAATTTCTAGTAGGACCCCTGCCCTCACCAATACTTTGATTAGAGGCTTGCAAAAGACCCAGTTGTGGATGGATGCTTGACCCACAGACACAATGAGGTAATAAATATGTGCTGTGTTTAGGTACTAAGTTTGTGGTCATTTACTGAACAGCAACTGGTAACTAACGAACTCAGCTAATAGCTCAGCTCCTATGGTTTGAATATGTCCCCCAAAGTTCACATGCTGGAAACGCAATCCTCAAGACAACAGTGTTGGGAGGTGGGGCTTTGTAAGAGGTACTGGGTTACTCCTTATTTCAGGAATGGATCTTATTAAGAACAGGTATTTTAAGTTCAGCCTCATTTTGGCTTCCGTCTCACTCATCATACTGCTTGCCATTGTGTCATGTTATGATGCAGGAGAAAGACCCTTGCCAGATATGTTCTCTCCATCTTGAGCTTTCCAGCCTCCAAAACCATGAGTGGAATACATTTCTATTACTCCTAATTGATCTAGTCTGTGGTACCCTGTTACAGCAGGAATAAATGAGCTGAAATATCAGCTCACAAAATTCATTCGCTATAAACAAATATTTACTGAGCACCACCTACTAAGAGGCAGAAAACAATATATTCTAGACACTGGAGATGTAGTAATGACTGAGACCCAGGAAGAGCCTGCTCATAGCCAATGAATAAAATAAATATCTTAGACAGTGTCAAGTAAGAATGCGATATGTAAGCAAGGAATGAATGGAGTGAAAAAGTGTGCCATGGAACAATCCTGGCCAGAAAGCACTTAGAGAAAACAGCAAGACTTAAAACCTGGATGCAGGAGTATGGATGTGGTTAAGTCCAAAGAACAATGCGAGTCTAAGGACAAGTCATGTAGAATCTTCTTGAAACCTGCTGGTATGTGATAGAAAGCCTTTAAAGCACTTTTAGAAGAGACTGGCATGATCTGATACTTGTTATTTTAAAGATCGCTCTGGCTGCTGGGAAGAAAATACAACGGGCTGGAGGGAAAGGATGAAGGCGGACAGATCTATTAAGAGACTACTTATTGTGAGCGATGTCAGAAATGGTAAGAAGTGAAATACGACTGAGACATATTTTAAAGGTATAGCAAGCAGCATTTGCTTACAGTGCAAATACAGATTCAGAATAAAAGATGATCTCTAGGTTTAGGGCAATGAAAAATGGTGCCATATACTTTAGTAAAGTCAAAAAGTTCTGCCATATTCCATCCAACGTTTACCAGACATTCAAGTGGAGATGTTAAGTAGGTAACTAAGTATACAAGCCTAAAACCTGAGAGAAGTTGACTCTGGAGTTCAAAATGTGAAGCAGTTAAAGGGAGCATGAGAGCGCTTAAAAGAAAGAACACAGAGAAAAGGACCAAGGTCAGAGTCCTGTGAAACAGGAGAATGAGGCAATAGAGACTGAGCAAGAACAGCCAGTGAAGAAGGCAAACAAAAGAGTGTGGTGTCTTAAAAAGGCAAGGAAAGAAGCAGCTATGAGTAAGAAGGCAGGAGATCAACTGTATCAAACACTGTTGAGAGGGTAAATAATAAGATGACCAAGATAAGCCCCTGTGATTTGTAAGAAGGCAGTCCCTAAAGATCTGACATGGTAAATGGTGGGGAAGAAATACTAACTGGAAAGACAACAAGAAATAAAGATGTGGAAATAAAAATGGGAAAATCCTACAGAAGGACCAGAAGAAGTGGTGCAAAAGATGAAGGTCAGGGGTGTGTAAATGAGGTCAGGAAAGGAATTCTTTTTTAACTTTTATTTTGGGATAAGCAATATCATGACATGCTCGCATGCTGTCAGAATAGTCTGGTAGAGAGGGAAAATGAAATGATATTGTAGGAACAAAGTTCTTGAACAGACAAAAAGAACTAAGTGGGTCTAGTGCACAAATGGAGCCTAAGCTTTAAATACAATAGACAAGTCATCCACAGGACAACTGTACGAATGGCAGCTTACAGTGAACCATGAATTAGGATAAGCCACTTGCAAGGTCTATCACCTATATGAAAAAACTCAAAATCAAATCTGTTATTCCTTCTAAGATGAAATCTTTTAAAGGGAAACACAAGGCTAATATAAACTTTTAATTAACAAATCTAATTATATGCAAATAGGCAGAGATAGGGGTTTCTGGTTTTGTTTTCCTGGTTGTTTTAGATTTTTCTCAGTAGAACAAAACCTACCTGGACTCTCCACTCTCTTATAGTGGTATGGGTTGATGCAAACTTCTTTTTGCTTAGATCCAAAGGGAAATTCGCAAATATCCAATGGCTTTAACTCATGATGGCTCTGCAAATCAGGCCAGCGCCAAACCCGACAATATATAACGTGGGGTAAGCCTTTTCTGTGAGAAACTTGTAGGCGTCCATCTAAAGACCTAGGAATTGTGACACATTTGCTTGGCTGTCCTGGACTGCTCAAGGCTTTCTCCAGTTCCTCCATGGCACCCTTTTTCTTTTTTAGCTTTTTCACCAAAGCATCGACTGCCTTTTCTGCCCATTTTTCTTCCTCATCACCTTGTTTCCAGCCCAACAATCGTTTCACTGCTGGACTAGTAAAAGAAAACAAGCTGGCCATTGACGTCATTTGATACAAATCTTCAGAGACCTTCCTGTAATCAAAGTCAGTAGTTACTGAAGAAATAGATCACAGGTGAAAAAGTCTTATAGAGGTCCTAAGCGGAAGCTCCAATTAAACAGGGAAGAATGACATTTATCTTCACAAGTGCCATTCGTTTCTTTCATTGATTCAAGTCCTGAAAGAGAAAGGGGGAAAGGATGCTAAATTAAACCAATTCAATTTACATATTTCAACCAATGTAATTAAAAACTATGTTATTTGTAAATAAGACCAGAAAGCATTCCAAAGTAAAACAAAACCCATGAATGTACAAAAATAAATGCTCTCTTCAAGTTTTGTGATCACTCACTTTCTTCTTCATAACACAAACAAATAATTCACTAGCAGTACCAAACGGTAACCAAAAACACAGTGTTCTGACTCTTGGTTCTGAAATACTTTCCTTCACTGAAATCCATGTTACACACTACCTCAATTCTGAATACTACATCCCAACAGGATCAAAGGCCTTAAAAGAAATCTAGGTCTTCTCTAAAGTCATTATTCTTTTAAAAATGTTTCACAGACTTTCAAGCTATTGTATCTGGGCTAAAGTTATAATACAATTCAAGTTGCAATATTATATGCAAATTGTATTAAATAAACCATTAACATGTAACTGCCAGAAAAGTAGCAAATAACTATTTTTAAAACTAAGAATGTGCTGGGCACCACTGGCTCATGCCTGTAATCCTAGCTGCTCAGGAGAATTGCGGTTCAAAGCCAGCCTGGCAAATAGTTCGCAAGACCCTATCTCGAAAGTACCTATCAAAAAAATAAAAGAAAAACAAAGAACTGCTTTAAAGATTTTTAAATAATACATAATTTGATCCAAAAAAGATCAGTTTATATTTTCTAATTTCTGGCTTCTGGATATTTCAAGCTTATGACTACCACTCTGTACCACTAAGATCTTGGCAATGACAAGAGGAAGCAATGTGCCATGGCACTCTGCTGTGGAGAGTGGGTGAAATCCCCTATGGATCACTCTTAGAAAAGGAATGTCAGGATGGGAGTGGCTCACACCTGCAATCCCAGCCACTGTCATGGCAGAGACCAGGAGGATAGCATGTGTTTGGAGGCCAGCTTAGGTGGGGAAGGGGGAGTTAAGGAAACCCCACATCCACCAAAAGCTGGACATGGTGATGTTCCACCAGTGATCCCAGGTACAGGTAGGAGAATGGTGATCTAAGGCCAACCCTGGGTAAAAATATAGACTGTATCTGAAAACTAACTGAAGCAAAAAGAGCTGGGAGTATGGCTCAAAAAGCAGATTGCCTGCCTAGGAAGTGCCAGGGTCTGAGTTCAAACCCTAATACCACCCAAAAAAAAGGGAATATTAGAATATTAGTAACAACAAATACCCCCTTTCTTGTACTATTTTATCAAGCTGATAGTCTCATGACTATTCTGCATTAAAATGCATCATCCCAGAAAATAAGTGTGCTTGGTTAAATCCAGGAAAACATGGAGTCGAGTAAAACTGAGTTAAATTTCAACAAATTATTAGTTGCTTGATATATGCCATGTAGCATGAACAGCCACGATGGGGCTTTAACAACAGGTAAAGCAAGGTTTCTTGTGGAGAGCCAGAAGACTTGTCTGCTCAGCACAGACCACAGACTACTGGAGGCGCTGCTAAGTGCCAAGTGCTGCTCTAGGTGCTGACCAGTCCACTGTGTTGGAACTGTGGAGGAAGGACGCAGGCAAAGTGAAGGTATACTTCTTCCTTATGAATATGTCTGGGGCTTTGTCTTTCCCAACTCCTACATAAAATGATTTCTGCCAAGAAAGTAAAACTAAATATGTTAAACTAGAAATAAAACAAGAGAATGAAAGTATATTTTTCAATAACAGGTCACAGAATATATACATGCTAAAGGAACTGTAAGAAGGGCAGACATCCATTGTAACTACATCAAGGATGGAGAATAAAACCATCTGAGTCAGAATATAAAGGCATGGTTTGATTGTCTCAGATGAAAAGGGAAATTTGAAAGGGAAAGGAACACTAATAAAATATATGCACAGCAAAGGAAACTATTACCAGAGTGAAGAGACAGCCAACATGACAGGATATCAACCATCCAACAGGGGATTAATATCCAGAACATGTAAAGAACTCAAAACATAAAACATCAAAAGAATAATCTGATCAAGAAATGGAATAATGAACTGAATAGATAATTTTCAAATGAAGAAGTACAAATAGTCAATAAATGAACAAAAAACGGTTCACCATCTTTAGCCATTAGGGAATACAAATTGAAACTACACTGAGATTCCATCTCATCCCAGTCAGAATGATAATTATAAAGTAAACAAAAACAACAAATGCTAGTAAGGACGCTATATACTGTTAGTGACAATGTTAATTAGTGCAGTCACTATGGAAATCAGAATGAAAGTTCCTCAAAAAGATAAAAACAGAACTACCATATGATACAGCATACAGTTGGAGGTACTTGAACACCCACGTGTAATAGCCAAGTTATGGAATCGGGTGTCCATCAATGAATAAGTGGATAAAGAAAATGATATATATATATATATTCAATGGAACCATAAAGAAAAATGAAATTATGTCATTTGCAGGAAAATGGATGGAACTGGAGATCATGATAAACAAAATAAGCCAGACTCAGACAAATATCTCATGTTTTCTCTCAGGTGTGGAATCTAGATGTTTCTTAAAAAGGCATGAAAGTAGAAGGAGGACTATTTGAGAAGAAGAAGGGGACTTGCGAGAGGAGGTGGGGGAAGAGAATACAATGGTGGGAATGAATAAAATCAAAGGACATTATATAAACACATGAAACTGTCATAATAAAACCTATTCCTTTGCATAATTAATATATATTAATAAAAAAAATTTTAAGCCAGCACTGTGGCTCATGCCTGCAATCCTGCTACTTGAGAGGCTGAGATTGGGAGGGCAGACCAGGCAGTTTGGGAGACCTCATCTTCAAAATAACCAAAGTAAAATGGACCAGACGTGTGGCTTAAGCAGTAGAGCAAGTGCTTTGCAAGTGAGAAGCCCTAAGTTCAAACCCCAATTCCAGCCAAAAGAAAAAAAAAAAAAAATCCAGGCCAGGTACAGTGGCCTGTAATCCCAGGCAGAAATTGGGAGGACTGTGGTTCAAGGACAGCCAGGCAAAAAGTCAGTGAGAACCCTATTTCAATCAATAAGCTGGATGTGGTGGTACCCACTTGTGATCCCAGCTATGTGGGAGGCCACACACAGAAAGGAAGATTGTAGTGTGAGGCTGGCCTGGGTCAAAATACAAGAACCTACCTAAAAATTAACTAAAGCAAAAAAAAAAAGGGGGCTGGGTGTATGGCTCAAGTGGTAGAGGGCATCTGCCTAGCAAGCATAAGGCCCTGAGTTCAAACCCCAATAGCACGAAAAAATCTAAATGAATTGTAGAGTCCAGTATGGTGATACACTTCTATAATCCCAGCACTCAAGAGGATTTCAGTTTAAGGCCAGCATGGGCTACAGAACAAGACCCTGTACTAAAAAACCAAACAAAAATGTAGGTGGACATGAACAGAGTAGTTCCCGCCACAGAGAGGAGATAAACCTGGCTGATGTGAGATCTCATTTAGGAACACAGAAGAATAACGGGGCAAGTCAGGGCAGAGCATGTGTATGAGAGAGGGTGTAGCGGCTATGGAGAGATCAGCTAAGGAAGGCAAAGGGGAGGAGCCTGAGAGGGAAGTTCAGAAAAACACTCCTAAGTGCAGCAGTAATTATAGAAATGATACAATTAACTAGGATAAAAAGAACTTAACTTTGATACAATCTAAGAATGCTATGTAGCAAAATTAGAATAAGATGGATACTGTAACTTTGGTCAAGGTACTTACCTCTGATCTGTTTCTCCACCTATAAAATGGAAATGTTATTATATATAAATGATTTAGAACTGTTCAAAGTGCATAGAAAGTACTTAACAAATGTTAAATGTTAATCCTTTATGAGCACCATTATAAATATTATAAGTATTACTATTATAGTACATTATTATATACTAAAATGAAGAAAAAGAAAAGTTACTTTGGAATGTAAACTGAGAACATGGATAGAAGGCTACATGGGGGAGGGGCAGAAGAAAGTGGTCCAGCATGATTTGTTCTATATACTTCTGCACTTTTAACAGAAAACCTTTTAAGCATTACTTGCATAATGTGAAAATAAAATAGTAATCTAAAATGATAATGAATAGAATGAAGTTAAGAGTGCTGGTAGAAAAACTAGGCAAAGGTAATGTGCTGTAAGTCAGGATGGTAGATACTGTATGAAGAGGATAGAGGTAGTAATTAACAGGGAACCTGAAGGATTTCTGCTATCTTTGTGATGTTCTGTTTATCATTCTGGGTGTTTACATGGAGAATTCAGTTTAAATATTGGTCTGTTTCCTCCCCCTTCTTCTCTCCATCATCAGTTCCCCTTCTCAAGGTAATCCATTCTGTATGCCTTCAATTTTCCCTTCCAGAGAAATTTTATGCATAAACAAACAAAGTATATATGTTATATCTTTTTTACATAAATAGTTCTATATTGAAAAGAAGTAAAAAAAAGTGTTAACAATGTATCTTCAAGAACTCCCCATATCAATATAGAATAAAGACTTTCCACATTAAGCAAAGTCTATAAGAAGGTCAAATTATGTCATTCCACAGATCAAAAATCACGTGTGACTTCTCAATGCACTCAAAATCCAAACTCCTTCTATTACTTTATAGGACCGACGCGATCCGGCCTTGGCTTTTCCTCCAAACCCATTTCATAGTCATTCTCCCAGCTAACTCAGCACTTAAACTATGCCTGACTTCACTCTACTTCTCAAGCACTCCAATGACTTCTACTTCATGGCCTTTGCATGTGATGTTCCCTCCTCTGGAATTTTCCTTCCCAGATCATAATATGGATTGCTTTCAATTAATTCAGTTGCTAAAATGTCTCTCCCATAAGAGGAATTCCCCAACCACTGCATCTAAAATAGCATACATCCCCATTCCCGTGTTGCGCTTTGTCCCCGACTCAGCTCAGTTTTCTCTCACAGCATTTACCTTAACCTGATATTATAGTATCAACTTTATTTACTATGTCTTTCCCACTGAAATGTTAGT